ATTTAAGAACGGTTTAATATTTTATAATAATTCAACATTTTAAAATAAAACCGCCAAAAGGACACATAAGAGGCAGTCGGCTCTCGAAACAACTACTAAACATATGCGGAATCCTTGTAGATAGTTTGCTCGCTCGATGCCCCTATTATCTCTGGGTGTAAATGCCGAATTAATCCAAAACGATCCAACGAATCAATTTATTCAAAATTGAAGATCTCCAAAGTGTGTGTTCACAGATGAGGTTCAAACTCGAGTAAACCGTGACATTCTTGCACGACACGAGATGTAAACAACGAGACTCGGAACTGTTCGAGTATGTGTCAAACTATCTGTCAAGGTCTTAGCGGAAGACAAACTCTAACACGAGCGCTCATAAACAGGTAGATCTTTGACTCGCGTGTCTATAAAATGTTGGTCGAGATAAACCTTCTCGAACAAAAAAAGAGGGAATTTTTGATAGATGAAAGACGGAAATGATCGTTAAATTCTTAGACGTCAAAAAAATGGTAAACAACGGCCCGAATTATGAGTGCGGGTGTTATTGTTTTATAATCAGTTATCGAGCAGAGTGGACAAAGAGGTATCGGATGGACGCCTCGAATCGGACCTTTCCCGCGACCCGAAAAGGTTTCGTCTTCGCACCTGGAGACAAACGAGAACAAATCGGGAAGCGAGGAATGGGACGAGGGACCAATCCGAAATGCGAATAGTGGGGGGAAAACTATAAAAATCGGAACTTGGAGGTGGAAGAAGAGTCTCCTCTGGATTAAGCCTACATTTGTGCTTTATCTATTGCGCTACCGCCGATCACCTAGGACGCCGCAGCTTAACATCGAACATCTGCGTCGTCCAGCGATCCTTCTCGTCCGCCCGGGCTACGACCGATCACCCAAACTCTCACCGTTTCGTAGGAACGCCGAGATTTTGGAATTGTCCAATATCGATGTAAGCGTGAATTCGAACAAATAAACGGGTTTTCTCTTGTAAAACACTTGTTCTTCATTTGCCTCCTTCGCCACCGCCCACATACGCGGTTTCCCTTAGGCTCATTCTGACGCGGGATAAACTGTACTAACCTTAACGTCGGCAACCCTACAAAAGTACTCATCGCGAATATTAATTTAAATACGTTAAATTTCATCCAAATCGGTTCATCGCCCTTTCACGTATTAAGGATCCCAATTTTTGACACGAAATTCGGTCGGTAGGCAACGATAACATTATCTTCTCGTCGCAGAGGATCTATCGTGCGATTATTTATTGCGAGTGCTTTTTCGAGTTTTGCTTCGTTTGCGGCGATTGTTTAAGTCAGTTTAGACTACGATCTTTCTAGATTTAAGCACTTTTTAACTTTGCAAAATACCACTATTAGCGGCGGTGGTTTCAATAAGAATGAATCGGTTTCCTTCGGAGGAATCGCATGTTTTCATTGTTAATTTTCCAATGGAATTGTTAATGCAAAATGAAAATGAATAAATAGCGTACTATAAATCTCTTATTCCCCGTTATAGTTAATATATTACGAACGTATATACATTAATATCCCGTCTGAATCTTAATGAATTAGAATAATTTGAGTTCCGTTTCCTCTATTTTCACACGTTTTGTGTTACGGCAGTCAACAGAACAGTACAATATTTTAATAAACTAATTTCTCTATCGAACATTAAAAGTTCGTCGAAAAGATTAAAATTATTATAAATATGATAAATAAATAGAGATTTAATTATAATATTCGAGGAATTGAAACAATCATTTTTGCGTTGGAAATTTACAATTCAGATTAGAATAGGAATACTTCTTAATGAATGCAAGTTCCGTTTTCGCAACAGTCGCCGATTTTTCTTCGCACAGTGGATAATTTCAAAGAATTGAAGCAGTGGCACACCTATTGTGAGTCTCCGGAAGTGGGTCGAAATTCGTGCACAGAAAATGTTTTAATTTCGTATGAAAAAAAAAATTTGTAATTATTAATCTTATAATATTGTAAAAAAGAAACCGTCAAACGAAAAATGAATATTTTATGTCCATATAAGGACATATCTGTAAAAATTTCTATTAAAGTCGAACTACTCAGGTTAAAACAATGGGTGAATTTGAGTACTTAGATCGAACGTCTTCGATAAGAATCAAATTGTCAGTCGGAGTTGACTCACCCCGCGATCTGGGCACCGATCTCGTTACAATTCGTAACGAGGAGGGGGACAAATTAGAGAGCGGGGGCAGATCCTATCGGAATGTTCGATCTGGGACCCAGAAAAAACTTATGAAAACCGCGCAAGAAAAGGATGTGACGTTCTTGGTTCGTAGTTCTTTGCCTTTGGTTCGCACTGCTCCTCTCCAGGATTCTTGTCATCCAAACATTCTCCCACGAGAACTTGTCAGATATTCGGAGGACTTGTCTTCACTTTCCCGTGCCATCAAAATAGCTAAAGTCTATCTTGCAGATAGAAGACCTCGGTTCAAATAGTGTTGTGCAGCCCGGAGTCGACGTCTTCACTCCTCCATCGCCGGAAGAAAAACTATCGTCAGAACAGTTGAACTTTTAGTGTTACGAACTTGTTGCTCGACTTTTTATAGGTATTACGTCGTTTTAAGGATTTGTTGTAAGGAAAATTTTTATATTTATTAAAATTATATTAAAATAAACTTTATTCTTTAGCTGAAATGTAATCTTTTGTCTTTATCTAGCAATGAAATATGGCGTTGTTTTCCATACAACATAATGTTATAAATACAAATAAAGCTAAATCTATAGAAATTGAGATTTATTCATGTTTTTATACGTGTCACTATACTAATAAGCAGGGTCGTCGATCGCTTGTATACGGGTCAGGGTGTAGACCTTTTTCCTCCCTTTTCTTTGAACAAATGAAATACGAAAAATGATTTTTTAATGTTAAAAAGGAATCGTAAATATTTTACTTTTTTATTAGTAACAATAAAATTTGTTTATAGGGATAGGAACTATTCCGTGCTCAAAGAGAATTTCTCATCTCCATCCTCTTCATAGTTGTTATTGCTAAAAATTGATTCGAAAATCTTTCCATTGATTGAAAGAGAATTGATATGAGAGAACGAACATTACAGAATTTCTTTTGCTCCAGACTTTAGATATTTTAGAGAATGGGCATCCTAACAGGGGGTAAAATAGAGCACTTACCCCTTCCTGAGATCGAGTAAAAAATTCCACAAATTTTAATCGTAAAAGTGATTCAAATATAAACTCATAGTGCTTATGAGTGTATATCTCAATCACTTTTACGATTATAATTTCTAGTCTTGTGGTGAGGTGAGAACAGATATAACCTTCCATGGTGGTCCCCGAAAGGCTTTGATAATCTTCAACATTTAATTTTATATAAATATTATTTATTGGCGTTTTACATAAAATATTTATCTTTATGAGTAAGTATCGTGTCATTATACACCAAAGAATGCATCTGTAATTGAATATTTTATAATTAATTAATATTTTTCAACTATTAAAATATAAAATTTTTATAAGCTAACGTAAATATATTTCAATTATAGAATAAGTTCATATTTTCTGCTAGAACGTCACAATTATTCTCAACAATACACGCGTGATAATTATTTAGGAAGAATCCAGTTCGTTTCTTTGTTTTCGTTAATAGAATTTCTGTTAAATTTTAAATCGTAGAGATCAGAAATATGAAACGAAACGAAAATCCACGGGACATAAAATCAAATAGAAATGACAAGAAAAAAAATAAAATCTGGAAGAAAAAATCGTTTCCATCAAAATCGGAACCAAAATTGTCATTCTCGTGTGTCAAGAAGAAGAAGGGCTTATACAATAAACATCAGGACACAAATTAAATTTCCGAAGAAGCCCGTGTCTTCCTTTCTTTACTTTTACCACGAAAATCTTCCTAAACTTAAAGCGGAAAGAGGAGTAAAAACGACAGAAGCCGCAAAAATCCTCGGACAAGAATGGAAAACTCTAGGGCGAGAAATTAAAGAAAATTATGCAAATAAATCAAAGATGGATAGAGAGAGATATTGGAGTGAGAAGCGGTCTCTTTCGGTTTCTATGATTAGTCCATCAAAATACTTAAAACGTCAGTCTAAGTTACATCTTCCTAAGAAAAGTCTCTCCTCTTTCATTTATTATTATAAAGACATTCGCGCCGACGTAAGAAAGGAAAATCCTCGATTTAAAACGTCTGAAATGGCCAAAGAAGTACGAAAAAAATGGAACTGTTTAAAGAAAGAAGACAAGGAAAAATATATAAAAATGGCCGAGGAAGACAAAAAAAGATNTAGTTACTAGTCACCCTACTTTAAATCCTTGTTCTCCTGAGACGTCTATGAGAATGTCCCGGGAAATCCAACTCTAGCTGTTTTCAAGGTCATCCAGATGTGTAAGCAATGACTCATCGGTGTTAAATTTCACAGAAAGGCGAGACAAAGGAAATTTAATGATGAAGCTTTTTAACCAAAATTAACGCATTTCTTTCGTTTTTTTTCAGTTTTAAGTATTTTTATGTTTAATTAAAAACTTTTTTAAAAAAGTGGACAAAAAGGGGTTAAGTGATGTAAACGAAATTTTAACTCCGTATTGGGTGATATTTCAATCCCCCGGCATTTACTCCCCCCCTACAGTTTAGGGAATTTACAATTTAGCGATTCGATCTTTACTATTTACAAAGAAACTTCAACAGAAGCAATAGTAAACGATTACAAATGCGCCTGTATATTATCTGGACAAAGTTACGCGAGTCCTCGCTGTATTTGTTGAAATATCCACTAATTATAAAATTATATAAGTATGTAAACACAACCTTATATTTGTAGGCAAGAATTAGATTCGGAGCAAACAATAGAGTAATATTTNTATGATTAGTCCATCAAAATACTTAAAACGTCAGTCTAAGTTACATCTTCCTAAGAAAAGTCTCTCCTCTTTCATTTATTATTATAAAGACATTCGCGCCGACGTAAGAAAGGAAAATCCTCGATTTAAAACGTCTGAAATGGCCAAAGAAGTACGAAAAAAATGGAACTGTTTAAAGAAAGAAGACAAGGAAAAATATATAAAAATGGCCGAGGAAGACAAAAAAAGATATTGCAAAGAAAAGATAGAATTGGCACGTACGAAACTAGAGGATGAGAAACAACCAAGAGGTAGTGAATTCAAAGAGAGTGAAGAATTAGCCGATGAACATCCGGATTCGATTAATGTGGCAAAATGGAAAGCTTGGCTGTTATTTCTAATGAATATATTTAAGTCAGGCTGTGGTTTAAAAGAATAGAATTGACGTTAATCGTACTAAAAATTGATTCAAAATTTTTATTTGATTTCGTCAGAATATAAATGTTTTAAAAATTGATTAACAATATGTTTTAGACTATTTACACAAACATTTCAATGATTTATATATTTTAATTAATATCCAAATCTCAAATAAAGATTTATATGTTTAAAAAGGCCATAAAATTTATTTCGCACACCAGAAAACGTCTCACGATGGAGTCAACCATTCTTTAGTGGTTTCTCCACCGCCTCAATACGCGAAACATTAAATTAAAAAATAAATTAGTAAGAAATTAATAAATAAACAGTAGCTTCGTATTACATATTTAAGCCAGATACTAATAAATAACGATTATTTTTCATTACTTAACGTAATGTTTCGTTAACAAGTCAGTATCACTTATGGATTTTTCTCCCTTGCTGAAACACGTGTGTATTACACGAAAACTGTGTAAATTACCAAAAAAATCAGACTGAATTAATAAAATAATTATATAAAATTTTTAGTTCAATTAGCAAGCACTCCATTTATTAGGAAATTGATTTGTTGGTAGATTTTTTTTTACATTTCGAGTGTAATTAGATGAAACTAAATAGATGTGAATATAGAAAGTATTGGTAGAATATGACTAAACTAATATGAGAAAAGTATCGCGTATTACTCGATCAGAAAATATTTGAAAAATGTATAATTTAACAATTTTGTTTCGATTATTACGGCTTAGAGTTTATACCGAATATATTTTTAATTTAATTTGTAACTGTAATTACAAATATATGTAAAATTCAGGATTGATATAATGTTATATCATTGGAATAGTAATGGCGCATAAAATATTTACAGGATTAATTGAAGTTTTCGAATTTTGTTGGAGGAAACTGATGAAGGCAAGCGTATCGACAGTTATAAAATGAACTGAATTTATTTAAATTAGTTGACTTTGTTTGTTTCCATCTAGTTTTTTCGTAATGCTACGATATACGTACTTTTGACTTTGTAAATTGTATTGTACTGAATAATAAAGTTTTATGTTATTCTCCTACTTAATTATGTATTTTTAATATTTCCGAACTAAACAGTATTTATTAAATTGAAATTCAAACTTTACAAAGTACTACGAATATTAGAGAAGACCGTTTTACTATAAATTACTACGTCTTACTAAGTTTTACGCTAATGTTTATTTCGTAAAAAGTAGGTCAGATAAGGACCGTTAGACTGATGACGTATATTGTCGGCTTTTGTAAGATGGCCGATCCGGGGGGAGAAAAGGGGCTTGAAACCCACTTCACGGCAACTGTGTAAGGATGCCGTCTCTTAGGTGGGATCTATTAATCCCGCGTCAGGATGGACCTAAGGGAAGGTTGTATGTGGGCAGTGACGGAGGAGGCAAATGACGACAAGTGTTTTACACAAGAAAGCCGTTTATTTGTTAACATATATGCTTACATCGGCAATCGACAGTCCTTCACTAATTTCTTCCCTCGAAGATGCGGAGTGTGAGAACTTCGGCGTCGGTCGTAGCCCCGGGGCGGACGAGATGCTGTTGCTGATCACGGCGGACGATCGGAAGATATAAGCGGCGGAGTCCACAGTTCCTTTGCGACGACACACCACAATAGAAGTCACTACCTTTCGTGGAGTCGGAGGAGAGCCCCCCTGACCTCGGATTTCGGATTTTTATAGTTTTTCTCTTCCACTATTCGGACTTCCGATTGGCCCTTCATCCCCTTTCTCGCTTCCCGATTGGTCTCTCTTTTGTTTTGGGATAAACTGAGACCGCCTCAGGTCACGAGAAAGGTCCGATTCCAGGTGTCTGCTCGACGCCGTTCTGTCGATTGTTGACAATATTGCAAGACTCGCGCTCATAATTTAGCTCCGTTACTCGCGATTTCTGTCATCTGGGTACTCGAACGATCATATGCAATGATTTATCTCTCTTAAATCTTTCCCTCTTTTCAGAAATTGTTTCCCTAGATTGACTGTTTATGAGAGCTGGGGTCAAAGTTCTACCTGCATATGACCACTTGACTCTGAATTATAACTTTTCATTCTGACATTGACAGTTAGTTTAACACGTGTTCGAGTAATCCGAGACTCGTTGTCTACATTTTGTGCCGCGTTGTTTAAATTATGGGATTTTCCTCTCCCTCTCATAATTAATCTATCGTTATTATTTAATCATAGGAATATCGCGATTTACATGATTCGGACCTCGGTTGGGTCTTCACACTTTTCCGGGTTGCGTGGGAGCTCTCGCGATAGCGTGATTTACAGTAGTCGCACCTACTTTTTTCTGACGCCAGCCAATTAGGAATATTAATTTTTTTAACCAATCAGATGATGTATAGTATAATCTCCGAATAGCGGGGACCGAAAAGTTTGTAAGTAATTTACGGGTGTCCGCTATTTGGAGGTGTACGGTACACGCTAGCGGCCGTACCGTACCTCAACCCGTCATCGTATAGTGAAGAATACGACGGATTACAAAAACGTCAAATTTGCGTTAGGAATGCGAAGATACCGAAAATTATACGTAGCGTATAAAATTAAAATATGTAGACAATATATATTTTTTCAGCTGTAAAAATCCCGTTTTAATCGAATTTCGTCGGAACGTGGAGTGGCCCAGGCGATTTAATATCCGCTTTAAAGTGTATGAAGATATTTTAGCACTCACACTAAACAATAAAATCAAAATTTTTTTACAATCAGAGAACAAATTAGTATTAATATTGATGTTTTATTAAATAATAATTTTGTGTGCCGAGAATGATGAGAATTGCCGAGAATCAAACGAACTATTTTCAATTTGATCAATTTTCTGGAACGTTTACAATCCTTCCTTCTATAATCGAACCGATATGCAATAACAAATTCGAATTTAAAACGGTTCGAACATTTTTAAAATCGAAATACATAAAAATATTTATAACAATGTCTGAAATGTTATCAATTTAATACACTAAACGTAACAAAAAATCGCAGTAAAAATAGTACAGTAAAATCCGTTCTTCCGGTTAATACTTAATCCTCTCCCTCTACCCCCGCGGGGGAATTTCGAAAAATCCCTTCTTAAAGGCGGCCATACACGTTAATCCTCAAAGGATTAACCACGCATGCCTGACCTCGAGTAATTCCTAATAGTGTGTGGAGGAAATTTTAACAGTTTTGGCGAACTGTACCGACCACCGGAGTAGAATCGAAAAACCATTTGATTTTCCTGCACAGTGTCGGACTGCGCTGACCGACCTTAACGTGTGTGCCGTCGTGTCGTTCAGCTGCGAGACCGCTGAGTAGTTAGAACAATGTCTCGTGAATGTTTGGAAGAATTATTTTCTATAACCTTGTTAACTTTTATTATTATTAAAATTCTACTCGCATCACATATCCCGTTCTTTCTTTATTCGTCATTTCTGCATACCGTACTGCGTATCAATGCGCCGTATTATTTGTCCGCCCGCCTCCAAGAAAGAATCAGCATCGAAAGACGAAAGACGTCATTCGTTGTCCGTAACCCACTACAGTCTCGATAGTCCGGCTCCTTTTGTTAATCCAACACCATTTTACGAAAGGAGTATTACTGCGTGTCGATTTAAAAAAAGTGACGGGAATTTACGAAAGTGGAAGGTGTACGGCACGAGAAAGATTTCGGGCGTATTAAATGTATAAAAATTGCAGTATGGTATTGGTAGTACTCCTTTCGTTATAAAGCTGTTAGCCTACCTACAACTAACTGCGATTATTTCAACTTGCAAAATTTTCTTCATAATCAGTTCGACAATTATTATCTGCCGTACTTCACTCTCGACACGAGATTATGGAATTTCCTCTATTCTTTCGATCGATATATCTGGATGAACTATTAACCTCGATGCAAAAATATGATAAACAGATATACTTTTATTGTTTTCTATCGGACATTAAGATAAACAGGCGTTTACGCTATCATCTAATGTAATCTAAACACGAAACCAGCGTTTCCCGCAGTTAAAATGTGAAATGGTCGGTACAATTAAATATGTTAAAAAATAAAACTACTGTAAATCAAGTGCCACCGAGACTATTAGAATTAGAAAATAACAATGGCGCGATGTATTAGAATCATAACCGTTATCGAGTTTTAATCTGGTCAGTGTCTGGCTTTTCGGGGCTGGTCAAAAAATTATACGAGAGTGGTAATTTTCTAAAAGCAATCGAAACGATAGCATCCTTCAATTCAGTCACGCGGGAACATATTCACAGAATTCGAGTAGTATGACTCACTGTTTAGGAGATCGAATTCAGAATGAAATCATCGATTTACTCGGCACGTCCATAAAAAATTATATACTGGACAAAGTCAGATAATGAAAATATTTCTTCATTAGAATACATTGCGCACCAGATGCGAGTCACGCGGAACAAATTACGGTCGTACTCGGGCGTGTTCTTTTAAACAACGAAACTAAAAATGTTGCGATATGCGAAAATTTCGTTGGTTTCTGTCCGATCACCGGCTCCACGGGTGACGGTCTATTAAATTCTGTTATTTTCGCAATTAATTCTTAACATTCAAAACTTACGATAATGGTTCTAACACGCGTGGAAAACACAATGAATTGGAAAAAAAATTTGGAAATCAATAATCGCGCATTTTACGTTCCACGCTCGGCTCGTAGTCTCAATTTAGTAGTCGATGATGCAGCAAATATTACTCACGAAACTGTGGATTTTTGAAATATAATTCAAGAAATTTACGTTTTCTTTTCATCGTGTACAACAGTGGTTTTCAACCTGTGGGTGGCGGGTAAAAGAAAAAGACAAGTGTTTGCAGGTCCTATAGTACAGTACATTAAAAAATCTACAATTACAGCGAAAAGCTGAAAATCCTGATTTTAAAAAAAGGGTCAACGGCTCAAAAAAAGGTAAAAAAGAGGTGTTTTATACTTTATCTGTGTTAAGTTATTGTCGATTCTTATGAAATTTTCATTTTAATCAACAATAATTTGTCTCAACAGAAAGAAAATTAAATACATAGTTTTTAAAATCACCGATATAGTTTTAATATGGCGCTGGGGGGTCGCCAGAATTTTTTAACTCGTAAAGAGGTCGCGTATTCAATAAGGTTGAAAAACACTGTTCTACACGAAATATTTTGAGTTTCTACAAAAACACTTCACAGCATTGAATGTCAAGATATATTCTAAAAATCACTTGTCAGGGACATTTGTTTTTATGAGAAAGATCGATCTACGGGACAGCCAACTGCATTGAAAGGTATTCCGAATCGTAGCAACTTCAATGTCATTTGAGGATGTCGGTTTAGATGGTTGTTAGGCTTCCCTCGTATTTTCTAACATATAAATGCATATTGCGCGATTATTTTCATATTTTAACGCACTTTGAATTAATGAAAATTAATATTTTATTATAACCGCATTACTTATTCTTAAGATTAATCATATTCGTTATTGTAAACCGCGCTTGAGTTAGGCGCTGTCTGTTCATTTTTTGTACGTCCGACCGTCGAAAGACCCCTCGGGATCGAGTCTGTTTATAATTTGAAAGATAACCTTGTCGGTTGTATATACGAAAGGTAAATTGTTTACAAACCGAGTCTTTGTTTATCTGATAAATGTATACTTTATTTCGTCAATTGTTCACGATAGCGGATGCCTTTTGTGTGAATTTGTCCGAAAGAAAGGAAAAGGCATAAATTGAGAAAAGCAAGTTGTGTCCAGACACGTGTCAGCCACACCTTCGTTCATCGTCCGCAATCGCCATCTTTGACGAGCTTCAATCGTCGGTGTTCGTAAATGATCGTGAATTGCTACCCGTCATCACCGTAAGTGTATTAAGATAAGATACAAAACTAATTACGCTAGTCATTCAATATGGATATCGTGAAATCTCAAATAGAAACTTTGTCAGAAGATTCGCAGGGAATATTAATTATATTTCATGGAAGTTTAAACTAAATCTTACATTGAGATCGAAGGATTTGTATGATATTGCGAGCGGATTTATTCTTAAATCCACTCGCAATATCCTGACGATGCGAATAATGCGGCAGATGTCGTAGCGTGGATTAAGAAGTATTTAGACGCTCAAGCTTGTATAGGTTTAAATGTGAGCAGTAATATCGCAAAGAAAATTGCAAATTGCACTTCTGCGTATAGTATGATACACAAATTACAAACCTTGTATGGTAAAAGGTCCAATCTCACAATTGAAGGGTTACAGAAAAATTTTTTTAATTGTAAGTATGGTTCGAGCAAATCTGTAGTGGAGAATTGTTTGTCAGTTCAACAATATGAAGAAGACTTAAAAGCTGAAGGAGAAACAATTAAGGAAAGCTGGATTATGACAAGGATGCTCGGAATACTGCCACCGAAACTATACCACTTCAGGACATCATGGGATAATGCTAATTCAATGGACAAGAACATCGACACCTTAATTGAACGACTTCGACTGGAAAAAGACAGATTGAAGGAAGACGACAAAAAGGAATCAACCGCACAGAATGCCCTCATTTCAAAGCAGAAAACGCAAGGTAACAGTCAGCAGAAAAGTTCAAGAGTCGAGTGTTTCAAATGCGGACAAAAGGGACACGTAAAGAAATATTGCAAGAATAAGTCGTGTCAGAAATATTTGGAGTATTGCAGAAATACTTATAATTGTAACAACTGCAACCATAAGGCCATTTCGCAAGGGAGTGTGTATAAATGAGAAGTCAGACGAATCAAACAAAGGAGATAAGACTAAAGGACAACGACGAGCTCTTGTCACTGTAGGATTGACTTCAACGAAAATAAATGACAAGAACTCAAGACGAAATCGACAGGATATTTGGTATCAAGATAGTGTCGCCACACAGCGTATGACCTTCAGGAAAGAATGGCTGACAAACTACAAAGCGCCGGAGGAGTATACGAAGGTGATACTCGGGAACAACCCCGAAATCAATGGGATCCGAGTAGGCGACATCGAACTCGAGGCTTTTAATGGAAGGGAATGGTATCCAGCAACCCCGAAAGACGTTTTATATGTTCCTAATATATCATTCAACCTATTTTCGGTTACCAAAATGTTGGATAAAGGGTTTGTTCAGACTGCCAATGCAAACACGTCAATTATCGAAACGGTCTATAGAAAGGAGCAAATAGCAGTAGCGCAACGACTCGAAGAATTATATCAAATGATGTTTCGAAGAGAGGTCACAGGAATGTGCACGATGGACCAACTCAATCAAAGTCTGACACATCAGAATGTGAAGTACTGCAAGAGTATTTTGGACAGAAACAATATAAGATACATCGATGACTGGGACAACAACGTTTTTGTATCGGTTGTGTATAGGGCAAACAAAAACATATCTCTCACCCAAGAAATAATAAGGTAGCGAAGGAAGTATTAGATCCGATATACGTTGACTTAGGTAAAATGGACACTTTATCTCTGGGAAAGGCAAGATATTTTCTCTATTCAAGGACGAATTTTCTCGTTTTAGGACTGTTTATTTTTTACGAACCAATATGCGAGACCTCTGACACCCCGATGGGTATTACGTCGTAAACAGGACGGCAGGATGAAAGCTAGACTCGTAAGGGGATTCGAGCAAAGACGGGGCATCGATTATTCAGACACGCATCTATCAGACTCGTGCTCAGTCACGCAGCATCCAGTAAATAATGAAAGTAACAGTTTTTGATGTCAAGACAGCTTACCTACACGCCAATCTCAAAGAAGAGATATATATGAACCAGACAGAAGGATTCTCTGATGGGACAGAAAGGGTTTGCAAGCTCGAAAAGAGTCTGTACGGTTTAAAGCAAGCCGCCAAAGATTGGAACTACGAAATCTCCGACTTTTTTCTTACGATAGGATTCGTTAATACCGACGATGACCCGCGCGTTTATTATAACAACGACAGAAGTGCGATAATAGTATTGGTCGTAGACGGCGGGTTTATTGCCGCTCAAAACGAAGAGGATATTTTGAAGATTCTGAAGTTACCGAATGACAAGTTTGAAATTACTTATAAAAGGACTTTACAATCACATACGACATACTTAGGTGCGAAAATCAAAGTGTGGCCTGAGGGAATTTTTGTGAGTCAACCCGATTACACAGAAAAGATCTCGAAACGATTTAAGTACGATCGAGTGAACGCCGCGAATACACCGATGGAATCAGGAATGAAAACGAATTCCGAAAACCTTGTCAATGACCAGCCACTAGAAAAACAAAATCGTTATCTCGAAGCTATCGGAAGCGCGCTTTATTTAGCAAAACTCTCCCGCCCAGATATAAGCTACTTCGTCAATTACCCGAGTAGGTCCAGTAATCGAGCCTCGACAAGTCACCGGAAGATGATTAAAAGAATTTTTCAGTATCTGAGAGGAACTACTCATTTTGGAATATTTTTTAACTGAGATCCGAAATTGATAGCGGATTACGGAGGAGACGCCAATAGTCTACATTCTACGAGTGGAGTTCTTATCACGAGGGGAGGTCCAATTGAATGGTATTCGAGAAAGCAGCGTGTCGTGGCGAATTCAACCGCTGAACCGAGTACCTGGCAGCAGTTTCGTCTATCGACGATATCTGCAGGGTACGAAGAATAGGAATTGAACTGAGATTATTAAAGAAAGATGAACCCACTCCGTTACTTGTCGACAATCAGTCGGCAATTCACACACCGATCAGCTTGTTGACATATTAACAAAGCCTTTGAATCGTGTAATATTCGAAAAGTTACGCTGTAACACGATTAAGGAGAGGAGTGTTAAGATTAATCATATTCGTCATTGTAAACCGCGCTTGAGTTAGGCGCTGTCTGTTCATTTTTTGTACGTCCGACCGTCGAAAGACCCCTCGGGATCGAGTCTGTTTATAATTTGAAAGATAACCTTGTCGGTTGTATATACGAAAGGTAAATTGTTTACAAACCGAGTCTTTGTTTATCTGATAAATGTATACTTTATTTCGTCAATTGTTCACGATAGCGGATGCCTTTTGTGTCAGATACAAGTCGAATGTATGTTTTCGTTAATCTTATCTCGCCTTTTGATTCGTTCACGGCTACTAGAAATCACCACACATATCTTATTACAAATTTCTATACACGTGAAAAACAACGATAAGATTTCTGTTGTATATTCCAATATAAATTCGTACTGTACACTCATATTCCCAACGGAAGCGCCGTATTGTCGAATAGATGACAGCTTCCACGGCCAAAATATCTGAATGGTGTAAAGAAGATTATAGGCATTAGCGCATGGGCTTTACACAGCACCAATCCGACGCAATTTAGCTGGTGGCTATTACGCACCAACGATTCCATCCATTAGCCACTGGTAGGGAGCTATTTGACTAAGTGCATTGTTTATCCATTTAAAAAGTAAAGAATATTCAGTGTAATTTTTACGTACGTTTCTTTACAGAGCTATATTTAATTATAATTTTCTTTTAATTATAATTATATTGACAGATTTTCGGGTATAAAATCTTCAGTATTTTTATCACTTTTTCGTGTTAATAATTTTAAATATTACGAAAAACAATTTTTCCGAGCGAGTCTTAATTCTTTAAGTAAATTTTATGCAGAATTTTTTGATTTATCCCAAATTACGTAGTGAATCGCAATATTCGTATTCGTGTCCGGACTCTACTGACCAGTCACTCTTAGGCATAAAAAATATAATTAATGACGACGTGAACAATGATGTGTAGTAGTGCCGCAGCGTAGCCACACTTCTTCCCACTGTGGTTAGTCTTTCTGTTTAATAAGTTACATAAAGATGTTATACAACCCGTCAGAAAAGTAAAATTTTACCGTAAACAGTCTATAGACTATTACTGATCTGAGAAGCGTGTTTTGAGTTAATTTAAACGGGGCTAATTAAAAAAACAACTTTAACTTCGAATACTGCGGACATTTTTGAATAAACGGGGACTCTCGAACCTTCTAGACCAGTGGTTCCCAACCTTTTTTCATTAGCGTACCCCGTGACACGTCGTATCTCTAGATTGTACCCCTCATTTTAGAAATTTAGCGAGTTTTACATATTGTAACTTTAAATTAAAGAGAAAAAAGTAAATGAAAAAATGTATAATAAAGTTGTGGTTGTTGCAATAAACATATTTTACCTATTAATTTTTTAATACTATTAGTTTGTGATACATAATATATTATTTTTTCTGCCATAATAACTAACTTTTTTCTGTACCCCTGAACAACCTATCGCGTACCCCTAGGGGTACGCGTACCACAGGTTGGGAATCGCTGTTCTAGACGATAAAAGTCGAAAACATTCTTTGAAATTTCCTATTTTATTTCTCGCTCTGGTTGTATCATTTATTTCTTTCTCAAAGTTTCGGTAGAAAATTATGATATGCAGCCCTGTCGATATTTAAAGTAGAATTTGTAATGAATTCTTTTATTTATTCTAGCTTTAATCAATCCAAACTTTTCCGATAATCACCGCTTTTCTGCTAGATAATAAATATTAAAAGTGCATTGGTAGGGATGTATACTCGTCCATGTTTATATTTTCTGCTCTGGTTTAAAACTTCCAGAGCCCCGATTCAATCAGATAACACACGTGATACGTTCTGTATTCGCCTTATCATATTCTGATAAAAAGAACCGAATGTAAGCTTAAAACACGACATAAAACCTGTCGAAGATCAGTATATCCCGCATTAGTACTAGCAACTACAGGAGAATCACGCGGGATTAAACATGCGTGTAGCCGTTGTAGGTGCGGGTGCTTGTGGCTTAGGAGCCATCAAAGGCTGTAAAGAAGAAGGTTTAGACGTAGTTTGTTACGAAAGAAGCGACAATATAGGCGGCCTGTGGCGATACAGAGACGGAGACGAAGAGGGTTTGGCTTCGGTTACAAAATCCACTATCATCAACACCAGCAAAGAAATGACTGCGGTCAGTGATTTTCCACCTCCAAAAGAGTATCCAAGTTACATGCATAACTCCATGATGTTCGAGAATATTTGCCTCTACGCGGAGAAATTCGATTTAACGCCGCACGTCAAGTTCCACCATCGAGTGGAGAGAATCGTTCCGACCGACGACTACGATTCGACCGGCAAATGGACAATCACAACAGTAAACTTGAAGAGTAAAGAGGAGCGAGAAGAGACTGTCGATGCGGTTATGGTATGCACCGGCCATCACGTGTTTCCAAATATCCCTACTTTCCCCGGACAGGAAAAGTTTAGAGGAAGCATCACTCACACTCACAGTTACAAAAAACCCAATGAATTCGAAGGAAAAAGAGTCGTAGTGGTAGGAGCGGGAAATTCTGCAGGCGACGCCGCTGTGGAGACCAGTTCTGTCGCTGAAAAAGTAAAAATTAAAACTTTTATAAGTTATTTATTTACTATAATGTATGCTACTTTTTATTTTGCCTGATTTATACGCGTTTATATATATAAAGGCATTCGCGTGTTGAAAGAAGGTCATTATGACCCGTAATATTTGGATTATTATTTTGACCAGTTCCAAGTTCTATTCGGAATGTCTAAGCTATCGCCTACAGTTTCGTCGATTGCTGAATCGTTCATTCGGAAAAATCCAGCAACGAACTGCTTAACTTTTAATTATTATAAAATGGAAAGAAGCTCTGTTTGTTTTGGGGGTAGAAATGAGTTTTATAATAATAAAAAATTGTAAATGCAAATAACCAGTAAAATCGTCATTAAATCTGACACTACTCGAGATATGACTCGCGACCCCGTATATCCCCACCCCTTAACCTTTAACTACACAATAATATGGTATAAATCTTCCAAATACGCAAACCTCCTGGCAGAATTTCAGAAATTTTCAAAATAACACGCGTTATCAAACTTCGAAGTTAGTGACTTTGTTCATCCACTTTGAAGCTTAAGACAGGAGCGGAGATTTAACGACTTGTGAACGCAGAAGACCGAAGACAATTGCGTAACGATTTGGGAAATTCTTCTTTATAGAAGTTAAGTTCTTTGACGCCTGTACGAGTAATGTCGAGTGCTACAGTGTATTGCGGCGTTCCTGGTGATCCGAACCGTTCATTCAATGACTATAGTCTACCTTCGAAACCGTGACGCTTCGAGAGGACGTTGACGGATATCACCAAAACGTAATGTCGTGGAATGATTCTCGGAATATAACACGAAGTAACGCTTACTTCAATGTCTTGTTCGGAATTCACGTACCGATGCGAGTGAGCGTAGATTGTAAGCCAACGGCACTAATTAATTTACGTATTTCTGTGCAGTACCGTAATCCGTACGCACGGCAAACCGATCGATGATTTTCTTTTATGTCGAACGAACTGAGACAGTTGTAAAAATATTCATTCGCTTTTAGGGAATATGCAGCGAATCCTCACTTAA